CACAGCTGCATGGTATACGGTAGACTCCTGCAGAAGTGAGAGGATCCCTCTTGTCCTTTGCTGAACGTAGCATTTGTTGGATTTTCTTGGTGGGTCTGTAAGTGGTTTGTATGTTGTGTTTCCTCATCAGCTTCCCTATGCGGTCAGTGGTTCCCTTGATGTATGGCAAGAACACTTTTCCTCTGGGTGGATCTTCATCTTTACTCTCGTGGCTTGTTCTCGGTCTTGCAGCTCTTCTGATGTCTGAGGTGGAGTATGAAAGCCTTCGACAATACAAATATCTAACTATCTAGATTCAATAGATTCGATAGATGATAGATATCTTAAACCTACACCTGTTGATAGACTCCATAGCAGTGGTTCTCAACCTGTGGATTCCCAGGTGTTTTGGCCTACAACTCCCAGTAATCCCAGTCAGTTTACCGGTTGTTAGGATTTCTGGGAGGTAAAGGCCAAAACATCTGGGGACCCACAGGTTGAGAACAACTGCTCTATAAACTAGCTGGCATTGCCCCCCTGATGTGTGATGGAAAGTTGCTGCCAATTGAGAAAGAAATAAGGCTGAGCACTGTGAAAGTCACCCACTGCATGGCTATCAGCCTCCTCCCAGTAGACTTAAATCAAGGAAAAGTTGCATGAGAACCACCACTTCTCTTAATGTTCCCCCAGCAACAGTGGATTGTGGCGCAGCTGGCTGAGTGTCAGCTGTATTAAGATCACTCTGGTCATGAGTTCAAAGCCAGCCCAAGTTGGAGTGGGTTTCCGACCAATTGTGTAGCCTGTTGTTGACCTTTGCAACCCGAAAGACAGTTGCATCTGTCTAGTAGGAAAATTAGGTAGCACCTTGTGTGGGGAGGCTACATTAACTAATTTATGAGGCCATAAAAAAGACTCCAGCAAAGCACTCCAGCAAAAAAGCATGCAGGGAATGCGGAAGTACTTCATCAGTGTTGCAGATCGACGATGAAAGCGACAGCTCCCCTGGTGGCCAGAAAAAGTTAAATAGCCTCTGTGTATGTCTATATACGTTGTATGTCAAAATTGGCATTGAATGTTCACCATATATGTGTACACTGTAATCCGCCCTGCGTCCTCTGTGGGGTGAGAAGGGCGGAATATAAATGCTGTAAATAAATAAGAAATAAGAATATTCCTGTGGGCAGCAAAATCAGGAAATCTCAACTGGATGCCCCCTCCCTCACAAGGGTCTTCCTCCAGAGGCAAACCATGAATGGGCAACTTGGAAGTCCCTGAACAGACTCAGAAGTGGAGTGGGCAGATCAAAAGACAACCAAGCAAAATGGCACTAGAATCCTCCACCTTGTGCGACTATGAAGCAGAACAGACAACTCTGCAGCTGATTGCTTGCCCACAATGCCCTGCCTCATGCACAGAGGAAGAATTCTTTAAAGCTACAGACAATGCAGTCGCTGTTGCCCGTTTTTGGTCTAAAACTATTTAGCTGCTTGAGATTCCTTTATTTTATCAGTTTTATACTTATTTATTTATGCAATGCTTGTGACACGAAATAAATAAAACAAATCTATGAACTAGTACAGTGGTTCTCAACCTATGGATCCACAGATGTTTTGGCCTTCAACTTCCAGAAATCCTAACAGCTGGTAAACTGGCTGGGATTTCTGGGAGTTGTAGGCCAAAACACCTGAGGATACACAGGTTGAGAACCACTGTACTAGTCAGTTAAAACCATATTAAACAAACTGTTAAAATATCGAAACACCATCTCACAGCCCTTGCCTCATTCTTAAAAACTTTCTGCTTAAAGCTTGCCTGGATAAAAAGATTGTAGTCCGGATACGAACGCACTTCCTATCCAAAATCACTGTGTGAACAAAACACACGCAGGCAGCCAAGGAGAAAACATTTTCTCCTCCACTTCCGTAGAGCATTTGTTTTGTTTCAGATTTCCCCTTTAATTCCATATCCACAGTCAAAGCAGACACGGATTATTTCAGAAGGAAAGTGAAACAGAACTTCGAAAGGCAAACATAATCATTTGCCACCAATTCGCATTTGCAGAAACTCCCAAATCAAGCCATCCATTATAAGATTGCTGCCACCATTCATCGAAAACAAATGACTACTTCCAACAAAAAAAGCAATGAATTGTCAACTTATATTCAACAAGTTTAATACTATTCACCAAAGTGCCGGAAGATAGGAAGAATCGTCTTTGCTTAAAGGTTGAAGCAATCTGATGTTGCCTCTTCCGGTTCGGTGCTGCAGATCGCATTCTCTCTCTTACAACAACTCTGACAATATCTAGATGCCTGTGCCACAAAAGCAACATTTCAATTCAATGTCTAATGTGTTTTGTTGTTGTCCCATATTCATAAGCCTCCAAAGGGAATGAAATTAGAAAGTTGAAAGCCCCCTCTCCAATTTAAATCAAAAGTCTTTCCAAGTGGCTGCATTGGGCCTATAGTGAGATGCTGTCATTGAACGGTGAGGTCATTGTTATTTTCTTATGACCCTCCGATGGAAATCCTAAAAACCTTTCTTTGTGGGAAAACGATATAGAATAATTGCCACTGTGTCAATAACTTAATTTGTTTTTACCATCTTAGAAACAAAAGAATTACAGGGGTTTTTTTCTCACCTGACACTATGAGAATAATTTTAAAAAACGAGGTTGTAACAACATCACTAATGGGGCCCAAGGAGTGCAAAATGATTGTGTATACAAAATTTTGTGCAGCATTATTGATTTTTGGAGTTAGATGCAACATCAAAAACATTTTTTGAAAACCCAGCTTATATATCTTGTTAACAATTTTTCCATACAGGGATAAAACTCTCTGCAGGTTTACTTTCTGAATCTTCAAAAGCGCATGCGTTCCTGTCAATTATGCTCCGAATCATGGGATTCCCACCGCATGCGCTGCAAGCATGTGCTGCTGTCTTCCTTGACGCCATTTTTGTTTTGACAGTGGCCGGTTTTGTAATATTTTCTGACATTTTGGCTACAATGTTTTGGCTATGTCACTGGATACAGTATTGTACCGGTGGCCACAATATCATGCTGGTGGCTACCATACTCTAGATCTGGACACAATATTGTGCCATTGGAAGTAATATCATGTCAGTGCAGCTACCATACTCTGAATACTCTGTCACTGGATACAATATCGTGCCGTTGTATACAATATCATGTCATTAAATTACACTATCATCCTAGTGGCTACTATACTCTCCTATTGCAAACAACATAGTGCCATTGGATACAATATTGTGCCACTGAATACAATATTGTCCATTGGCTAAAATAATCCACCACTGGATACAATGTCGTGCCAGTGGCTTTGATGGCAATTGCCAGCACTACAATATCAGGCCATCACCCAAAACACTTTGCCATCAGTTACAATATAATGCCTGTGATTACAATATTGTGCTGGCAGCTACAATACTCTAACACTTTGTGGCCCCATACTCTAACTCTTTGTGGCCCCATACTCTAACACTGGATGCAATTTTGTGTCATTGGATACAATATTGTGCCAGTGGCTTCAATATAATCCTGATGCCGATAGTACTGTCACCGGATATAGTATCATACCACTGGATACAACATTATACCAGTAGCTAAAACACTCCACCACTGGATACAATATCATGACACTGAATACAATATTGTCTCAGTAGCTAAAATATTGTGATTGGATATAATATCATGACACTAAATACAATATTGTCCCAGTGGCTAAAATATTCAGCTATTGGATACAATATCGTGACACTGAATAGAATATTGTCCCAGTGGCTAAAATATTCCATCATTGGATACAATATCGTGACACCGAATACAATATTGTCCCAGTGGCTAAAATATGCTGTGATTGGATACAATGCCGTGACACTGAATACAATATTGTCCCGGTGACTAAAATATTCAGCTACTGGATACAATATCGTGACACTGAATAGAATATCGTCCCAGTGGTTAAAATATTCCATCATTGGATACAATATCGTGATACTGAATACCACTGGAAACAATATTGTGACACTGAATACAATATTGTCCAAGTGGTTAAAATATTCCACCATTGGATACAATATTGTGACACTGAACACAATATTGTTCCAGTAGGTAAAATATTCTGCGATTGAATACAATATTGTCCCAGTGGCTAAAATATTCAATCATTGGATACAATATCATAGCACTGAATACCATTGGAAACAATATTGTGACACTGAATACAATATTGTCCCAGTGGTTAAAATATTCCATCATTGGATACTATATCGTGACACTGAAGACAATATTGTCCCAGTGGCTAAAACATTCAGCCATTAGACACAATATCGTGACACTGAAAACAATACTGTCCAGTGGCTAAAATACTCCACCATTGGATACAATATTCTGCTATTGGATACTATATCGTGGCACTGAACACAATATTGTCCCAGTGGCTAAAGTACTCCACTATTGGGTACAATATCATGACACTGAATGCAATATTGTCCCAATGGCTAAAATATTATGCCATTTATTGTGACACTGAATACAGTATCGTGCTACTGGGTGCAATATTATCCCAGTGGCTAAAATGTTCCACCATTGGATATACAATATCATGCCAGTGGCTTGAATAGCAATTGCCAGTGCTACAATATCGCCTACAGTGTTTTGCCATCAGTTACAACAGGTTTGGGCCAACGTTGGCCCTCCAGGGGTTTTGGACTCCAACTCCCACAGTTCCTAACAGCTTCAGGCCCCTTCTTTTCCCCCTCAGCCACTTAAGCGGCTGAGGGGGAAAGGAAAGGGCCTGAGGCCGTTAGGAATGGTGGGAGTTGGAGTCCAAAACCCCTTGAGAGCCAATGTTGGCCCAAACCTGAACTACAATAGTGTGTTGACAATGGGACGAGGCCAATAAGGAGGGTGACGGCCTGATCTGCTGCGACGGGTGGCACCGCCATGAGTCAAGCCACGACAACCCAGAAAGAGAAAGAGGGCGGTGGGTGCTCACCGTGGCCGAGGTCAGGCTGCTCTCCGCCAGGGCCAAATGGTGGGGCTCCCAGCGCCGCAGGAACTTGGAGGTGAGGATCTTGCTGAGGAAGGTGCGCGGGTGCCGCACCACGCAGACCTGGATGTCGCCCTCCTGGAGCAGCTTGTAGCGCATCCCGCTGCAGTGGAGGCCTCGTCGGCAGAGCGGGGCGCCTGCCTTGTGGGGTCCCTCGGGGCCCGGCCCCTCGCCCAGCAGGGGCTTGCTCTCCTCCAGGGGGCGCCCCTCGCCCCCATTGCTGTTGCTGTTGAAATCCATTCCGTGCAATGCAAAATCCGTGCTCTGCTCGCTGCTTTTCTTCCCCCTCCTCTTCCTCCTCTTCCAATCAAAATGAGATCAGAATGGAGACAAATGCATCCACAGGCATTGGGGAAATAGAGGGAGAGGTTTCAAAGGAAAGGAAGGAAGGAAGGAGGTGATGGGAAGAAGGAAGGAGACAGAACGGAAGGAGTGAAAGACAGAAGGGGAAAGAATGGAACAAGGGAACGAAGGGAGGGAGGAAAGGGAGAAGGAAGGAACGAAAGAGTAAGGGAAGGAGTAATGGAAGAAACGAAAAAGAGAGCAAAGGAAGGAAGGAAGAAAAGAAGGAAGGGAGAAATAGAGGAATGAATACAGGAAGGAATAACTGAAGGAAGGAAGGGATAAAGGAAGGCAAGAAATAAAGGAAGGAAGGAAGGAATAGAGGAAGGAAGGAAGGAACAAATAAAGGAAGGAAGAGATAAAGGAAGGAATAAAAGAACAAATGAAGAGAGGAATAAAGGACGGAATGAATAAATGAAGGAAGGAAGAGATAAAGGAAGGAAGGAAGAAATAAAGGAAGGAATAAAAGAACAAATAAAGGAAGGAATAAAGGAAGGAACGAATAAACGAAGGAAGAGATAAAGGAAGGAAGGAATAAAGGAATGAAGGAAGGAAGAAATAAGGAAAGGAACGAATAAATGAAAGAAGGAAGAGATAAATGAAGGAAGGAAGAGATAAAGGAAGGAAGGAAGGAAGGAAGGAAGGAAGGGAATAAAAGAACGAATGAAGAAAGAAATAAAGAAAGGAACAAATAAATGAAGGAAGGAAGGAAGAGATGAAGGAGCAAAGGAAAGAAGAAATAAAGGAAGGAAGGAATAAAAGAACGAAGGAAGGAAGGAATAAAGGAAGGAACGAATAAAGGAAGAGATAAAGAAACGAAGGAAGGAATAAAGGAATGAAGGAAGGAATGAAGGAAGAAAGGAACGAATAAAGGAGGAAAGGAAGGAAGGAATAAAGGGAGGGAGGAGAAAGAGAACGAAGGAAAGACGGGATAAAAGGAAGGAAGGCGCAAAGGAAGGCTGCAATCCAGGAAAGCGGAGGGAAAGCGGAGCCCCTCGTCCCGCAAGGAGGCTCAGTGCAGGAAACCCGGGCTCATGGTGGGCTGCATCCGCGGGGAGCGGGGCTGCACGTCTGAACGGGGCGCAGGCGCGTGTCGAGGGCGGGCGGGAGGGGCGGGGGCGCCTGGTCTCCTCGTCCAGCTGCTCCGGCTCCCAGGCTCCGCGGAGGGGAGAGAGAGGGGGGGAGGGAGGGAGGGAGCGGGCGCGCGAGCGTTGCGGGGAAGCGGGCGCCCGCCCTGATTGGCCGCCGCCGTCACGTGCCGCCTGGCTCTGACGTCAATCCGGGCTTTGCAGGGCTTTGCCTCCCTCCCCCTCCCCCTCGAAAGAAGGGGAGGGAGGGGAGAAAGGGGGAGGGGGATTCCAACGCCAGGACTCCATTGCTTTCCATGGAAGGGTCACTCCCCTCCCGAAAAAGGATCCCAGTACATTAAATCAGGCTTAATCACAAAGGAAGAGCAAAGCCCACTGGAAAAAAGGAGGGGTTTTGCAAAAAAATGAAATAAAAGAGGGGGGAGATTCCAATATTCACCTCCCAAAAATTGAATTGGGTTTTTGGAAGGCAGAATTGTGTCACTATTGATCATCCTGATTTTTTAAAAAATATTTTATCCTAATATTTTCAGTACTTGTATTTCTTATGTTATGTATTTATTTGTATATTATTATTATTATTATTCCCATTGCATTCATTCCAGTCTAGCTTCACTCAACCTCAGGTTATTTATTATTATTATTATTATTATTTAACATTATTATTAATATTAATATTAATATTAATATTCCAATTGCATTCATTCCAGTCTAGCTGTACCCAACATATTATTATTATTTATTATTATTTAACTTATTATTATTATTATTATTATTACTCCAATTGCATTCATTCCAGTCTAGCTTCACTCAACCTCAGGTTATTTATTATTATTATTATTATTATTATTATTATTAATAATAATAATAATAATAATAATAATCCAATTGCATTCATTCCAGTCTAGCTGTACCCAACATATTTTTATTTATTATGATTATTTAACATATTGTTATTATTATTATTACTCCATTTGCATTCATTCCAGTCTAGCTGCATCCAACCTCATGTTTTTTATTTATTTATTTATTTATTATTTAACATATTATTTTTATTGTAATTGCATTCATTCTAGTCTAGTTGCACCCAACCTCATGTTATTTATTATTATTATTATTATTAAACATATTATTATTATTATTATTTGTTCAATTGCATTCACTACACAGTGTAGCTGCACTCAACGTCATGTTATTATATTATTTTTATGTATTTATTATTATTATTTGAAACACAACAAGATGAGTCCACAGCAAACAAGATCACTCTGCTGGCTGTTGTATTGGATCACACGTCTGGATACTTCCCAAGTATCTAGGACTGTGTGATGTATCGGTGAATAATGCGTGCAGATCTCAGTAAGGTGGCCTTCTGCAGCTGGCAGATGGTAATCTAGTCAGCGCAAATTGTGTTTAAGTGCAGGCCAAGGTCTTTAGGCACTGCGCCCAGTGTGCCGATCACCACTGGGACCACCTTGATTGGCTTGTGCTAGAAACTTTGCAGTTCGATCATTTAAATCCTCATATCGTGTAAACTCACATTATTCTGATTGAGGTAGATAATCTGGATTATACGGTGTGGACTCATATCATTCAGATCAGTGCAGATAACCTGGATGATATGGCAGTGTGGACTCATATAATCAGATCGGTACAGATAATCTGTGTTATATAGCCATGTGAACTCATATACTCCAGATCGAGACAGATAATCTGGATTATTTGGCAGTGTGGATTCATATAATCCAGATTGAGACAGATAATCTGGTTTATATGGAAGTCTGTATTAATATATTCCAGATCAAGGCAGATAATCTGGATTATATGGCAGTGTGGATTCATATAATCCAGATCGAGGCAGATAATATGGATTATATGGCAGTGTGGACTCATATAATCCAGACTGAGGCAGATAATATGGTTTAAATGGTAGTGTGGACTCATACAATCCAGATCGAGGCAGATAATTTGGATTATATGGCAGTGTGAATACATATAATCCAGATCAAGACAGATAATCTGGATTATATAGCAATGTGGACTCATGTAATCTAGATCAAGACAGATAATCTGGATTATTTGGCAGTGTGGATTCGCATAATCCAGATCAAGGGAGGTAACCTGGATCATACACTGTAGAATTAATGCAGTCTGATGCCACTGTAATGCCATGGCTCAATGCTCAGGAAACCTGGGAGTTGCCATTTTGCAAACTCTTTCGCCTTCTCTGCCACAGAGTGCTGGTGCCTCTCCAAACTACAAAGCCCAGGATTCCAAAGCATTGCACCCTGGCAGCTAAACTGGTGTCAAACTGTATTGATTCTGCATTGTAGATGCATAGTGGCTGGCCCAATCATCTTGGAACAATGTAGCCATAGCAAACCCATTCCTATGCAGAACTGCTCTCATCCATCCGCACCAGCAAGGGTTGCTTCACTTCCATGCCAGGCTGTGTCACAATGCTTTGCAGAAGGCAGCAAAAGGGAAGTAACAGGTTGACTGTATCTGCGGCGAGCTTTCTGACCACGGCTCTTCCTCTAAAGATGAGCTTCCTGAAATGCCCAGAGTGTACAGTTAACATGGTTGGTCACGGCTTAAACCAACTTGACTGGGGAATCGTAGGAGTTGTAGTTTTACAAGGCCTTCTCTGCCCAAGAGTGTTGACACCTTACTAAACTGCAACTCCTATGATTACACAGACTTAAGCCCTGGCAGTTACAGTGGTGTCAAATCACATTATTTCTATAGTGTAGATGCACTGGAACTAGTCAATAGCTGGGTGCCTTTCTACAATAGGCTTCTCCTTCTCCCATTGATTTTAAATGGTGATGGGTGGCCATATATAAATCCCACTTGCTTAGTTTCCAACAGATCTCACAACCTCTGAGGATGCCTGCCATAGATGTGGGTGAAAGGTCAGGAGAGAATGCTTCTGGAATATGGCCATACAGCCACCCAGTGATTCCAGCCATGAAAGCCTACGACAACACGATGAATAACTCCATCAGCATAAAAGGTATCCTATGCCTCCTTGGGTAAGGTAATGCTCAAGATCCTGCAAGGAAGACTCCAGCAATACATGGAGCGAGAGTTGCCAGATGTTCAAGCTGGGTTTAGAAAAGGCAGAGGAACGAGAGAACAGATTGCCAATATCCGCTGGATAATGGAGAAAGGCAGGGAGTTTCAGAAAAACATCTACTTCTGCTTCATTGACTATTCTAAAGCCTTTGACTGTGTGGATCATAATAAATTGTGGCAAGTTCTTAGTGGGATGGGCATCCCAAGCCACCGTGTCTCTCTCCTGAGGAATCTGTACAAGGACCAAGTAGCAACAGTCAGAACTGACCACGGAACAACAGACTGGTTCAAGATTGGGAAAGGCGTACGGCAAGGCTGCATCCTCTCACCCAACCTTTTTAACTTGTATGCAGAACACATCATGCGATGTGCGGGGCTTGATGAATGCAAGGGTGGGGTGAAAATTGCTGGAAGAAACATTAACAACCTCAGATATGCAGATGACACCACCCTGATGGCCGAAAGCGAGGAGGAGCTGAGGAGCCTTCTAATCAAGGTGAAAGAAGAAAGCGCAAAAGCCGGGTTGCAGCTAAACGTCAAAAAAACCAAGATTATGGCAACAAGAATGATTGACAACTGGAAAATAGAAGGAGAAACCGTGGAGGCCGTGACAGACTTTGTATTTCTAGGGGCAAAGATTACTGCAGATGCAGACTGTAGCCAGGAAATCAGAAGACGCTTACTTCTTGGGAGGAGAGCAATGTCCAATCTCGATAAAATAGTAAAGAGTAGAGACATCAGACTGGCAACAAAGATCCGCCTAGTCAAAGCCATGGTATTCCCTGTAGTCACCTACGGAAGTGAGAGCTGGACCTTAGGGAAGGCTGAGCGAAGGAAGATCGATGCTTTTGAGCTGTGGTGTTGGAGGAAAGTTCTGAGAGTGCCTTGGACTGCGAGAAGATCCAACCAGTCCATCCTCCAGGAAATAAAGCCCGACTCCTGCTCACTGGAGGGAAAGATACTAGAGACAAAGTTGAAGTACTTTGGCCACATCATGAGGAGACAGGAAAGCCTAGAGAAGACAATTATGCTGGGGAAAGTGGAAGGCAAAAGGAAGAGGGGCCGACCAAGGGCAAGATGGATGGATGGCATCCTTGAAGTGACTGGACTGACCTTGAGGGAG